CGAAGCGCTCGAAAGAAAGTCGACCGTTCTCTCCAAGCGGTCAAAGCGAAGTGCCCGATTTTACACGAGACAAAACCACCCGCTTTGCGCACGCCTGTTTCCTTGGGGTGGTTGCCAACCTTCTTTTCTTCTTCTCACCAACTGTTTCTTGCGCGCGCGAAATTCATTTGAAATTTAAAAATTCGAATTGGATCCTTACAATCTTCTAAACATTTCTTGCTCATATTTAACAGGGCCGGCTTTCAAAGCGAGTGGTTATTTCGGAACCCTCAGCGGCTGCAGGTAGTAAAGAAATAGTGAAGTGGTGGATTTTCATATTTAGTGAAAGCCGCCCCTGAAAGAAACCACAAGAGCCGGTCGAGCTGCAGTGGACACGTTATTTACGACCCTAAAACCTTTTCTATTGTAAACAACTTAACTTCGACACAATGGGATGATTTTATGATGGCCATATAACCTTATAACTCTTGGTTCACTATAACTTTGTGTATCCAGTTGGCTTTGAAATGTTCAGAATTTTGCCGCTTCGTTGTGATGATTGCCTGTCGCAAAATCTACTATAACCTCATTTTATTATTAACAGCACAATTTTCAATGTACGATCCGACATAATACAACGTCGCCTGAGAACTTGTTTGATGCACAGACCGTAGCGCGCTCAGGCTAATGTCGACTCTAAGCGTTTACAATTTCTGCTAGCAATACTAGTGGAACCCTAATCATGCAATATTTTTTTTTCGAAAAGGTGCAGTTATTTTTATGTTTTAGAAGCGTTGTGTTCTATTTTGTACTAATTTTTACATATTTTTGGTCACAATTTTGATAGTTTTTTACTTTTACTTTTAGCAACACGACATGCTTAAAAAGCTCTCAGTGATCGAAAAATTGAATTATCGAAGAATAAAAAATTTTAAAAATCGAAAAATTAAAATGACAAAATTAAAAAAAAAACAGAAATTGAACATTTCCCAAAACTGATAACGTTGAAAAAATTGAGAAATCGAAAACTTGAAAAGTCGGGAAATCTAAAAATCGAAAAGTTGGAAAATTTTAAACATCCAAAAACCAAGATGGCTAAATTAAAAAATCGAAAAATTGAAATATTGAAGAATTGAAAAATCGAGAAATCGAAAAATGTAAAATTTTAAAAACTTAAAAAGGGATAAAATATAGAAAAGTTGAAAAATAGGAGAAAAATTGAAGAATCAAAAAACTGAAAAATCACAGATTTAAACGAAATATCCAAAAATTGGGAAATTAAAAAATCGAAAAATTAAAAATTCAAAAACCTGAAAAATGGAAAAATTGAAGAACGGAAGAACTGAAAAATCGAAACTTTGGGAAGCCGAGAAATAGGAAAATCAAAAAATAGATTATGTACTTGAGAAGTGGGAAAAGCGAAAATTCAGAAACGTCAAAATTTGAAAAATTTAAAAATACTGAAAAACTGAAAAATCGAAAAATATAAAATTTGAAACGTTGAAAAATTAAAATATCATAAAATAGAAAAATGGAAAAATCTAAACATTAAAAATCGAAAAAATGAAAAATCAACAAATGGAGAAATCGAAACTCCAGAATTCAAAAAATCGGGAAATTAAAAAATTGAGAAATCGAAAAACCAAAAAAGCAAAGTCGAAAAATTAAAGAATCGAAGAACTTAAAATTGAAACTTTGAGAAGTCGAGAAATGGGAAAGTCAAAAATAAATTAATTGAGAAATCTGAAAACTGATAATTTAGCAAACTTCAAAATTTGAAAAATTGAAATCGAAAAATTTTAAATTTAGAACACTGAACAATTAAAATATCGCAAAATCAAAAAAATAAAAATTCGAAAATCTAAAATTTAAAAATCCTAAAAGTGAATAATCGAAATTCCATAATTTAAAAAATTGAAAAATTGAAAAATCGGATAATTGAAAAATCGAAATATCGAAAAATTTGAAAATCATAAAATTAGAAAGCCCAAAAGTAAAAAATCGAAAAACCGAGAAATCTAAAAATCGAAACATTGAAAAATTCAAAAACTGAGACATCGAGAAATCCAAAAATCAGGGGATCGAGAAATCGAGGAGTCGAAAGCCGAGAAGAAAAGTTAAAAATTGAAAAATTGATGAATTGAGAAATTGAACAATCGATAAATTTTAAGAAAGGAAAATTGGAAAATCGAAAATTTAAAACTTCGTAAAATTGAAACATCGAAAAGTTGAAAAATTGAGAAATAGAAGTACATATAAAAAAAGTCAAAAAAGCAAAGTCGAAAAATCGTAAATTTAAAAAATTGAAAAATTGAAAAATCAAAAACCTGAAAAATCGAAAAATTGAAGAACTGAAAGATCGTAACTTTGGGAAGTCGAGAAATGGGAAAATCAAAATATAGACTAATTGAGAAATGGGAAAAGTGGAAATTCAGAAACGTCTAAATTTGAAAAATTAAAAAAATATTGAAAAATAGAAATACCGAATAAAGTTTAAAACATTGAGCAATGAAAATATGGCCAAATTAAAAAATAAAAATTCGAAAATCTAAAATTTAAAAATCTAAAAACGGAAAAATAAACTTCCAGAATTTAAAAAGTTGAAAAATTGAACAATCGGATGACTGAAAAATCGAAACATCGAAAAATTGGACAACCGATAAATTGAACAATCAAAACATCCAAACATCTGAATTCGATAAATCGAGAAATCAAAAATTTGAAAAAATCTAAAAATTTTAAAAAAGAAAAATTGGAAAATCGAAAATTGAAAAATTGAAATAAGTACTAAAAAATCTCTAAACCCCAATATCAAAAATTAAAACATAGGGGAAAAATTAAAGAGTCAAAAAACTGAAAAACCACAAAATTGAACGAAATATCTTAAAACTGGGAAATTAAAAAATTGAAAAACTGAGAAATCGAAAAATCAAAAAAACAAAGTTGAAAAATCGCAAACTAAAAAATCGAAAAACTGAAAAATCAAAATCTGAAAAATCGAAAAATTGAAGAACTGAACAACTGAAAGATCGAAACTTTGGGAAGTCGAGAAATGGGAAAATCAAAAAGTAAATTAATTGGGAAATGGGAAAAGTGAAAATTCAGAAACGTCCAAATTTGGAAAATTATAAAATATTGAAGAACTGAAAAATCGAAAAATTTTAAATTTAAAACTTGAAAAATTAAAACATGTATCGCAAAATTCAAAAATGGAGAAATATAAATATCAAAAAATCAAAAAAATAAAAATTCTAAAATCTAAAATTTAAAAATCGAAAATGTGAAAAATCAACAAATCGAGAAATCGATACTCGAAAATTTAAAAAGTTGGAAACTTGAAAAATTGGATGACGCAAAAATCGAAACATCGAAAACTTGAAAATCCGAAAAGTAAAAAATCGAAAAATCGAAAAATTCAAAAACTGGGACATCGAGAAATCTAAAAATCAAAAGATTGAGAAACCGAGGAGTCGAAAAGTCGCGAAGTCGAAAAATCTAAAAATTGAGAAACCGAAATAGGGCAAAATCGAATAATCGAGAAGAATAAATCGAGATCTCAAAAAATTGAGATAGACTGAACAATTAAAACATCGAAACATTCGAATCTCCATAAATCGAGTTCTTAAAAAATTGAAAAATCAAAAATTTAAAAATTTGGAAAATTGAAAAATGAAAATATAGAAGAACTGAAGACTCGAGAACTCGAAAAATCTAGAATTTTAAAAATTAAAATATTGAAAATTTGAAAAATTTTGAAATCGAAATATAAAACAGTCGAACTTTGAAAAACTGAAAAATCGAAATATTTAAAAACCGTAAAATTGCAGAGGACAAAAGTTGAGATCGTATCATTGAAATATCGGAAAATTGAGAAATCAAAAAATAAAAAAATCGAGGAACTGGAAATTTGAAGAATGGAAAAATTGAAAAAGTCCAAAATTGAAATATTGAAAAATTGAAACATCTAAAGTGGAAAAATCGAGAAATCGAAAAGCCGAAAAATCTCGTAGGGTATTTATAATCCACAAGTTCAGGACTATGCTACTTTTTAACATTTAAATGACAATAATTCGACAAAATTGTAAGATGACATCATCAACTCCTGGGGGGCATCAACGGATAAATTTTGACTAACGATTTAACATGCCTTCAATAGCTATAAATTGGAAAATGTTGTTGGATTCATAAACCGTGAACGGAAGATATAAAATTTTAATTACATATACTATTGCAAAATGTGGAGATTACGTCAGTGGCAAATTTTGGTGAGTGTTTTACCTGAACATTATGTATTAAATCGTTAAGACTTCACTTATTTGTTGTAAAGATTTTACTTTGTCAAAGCATTTTGGTATTCGTACTCTAAAATAACGTCGTCATGTAAAACTTGTTTTCTTTTTATACCTATAAAATTTGTTATGTATGGGTTAGAAAGTCGTGTCTACGAAAATTATACACAGTAAAGAGAAACGTATGCAATTAAGTGATATATATTTTATTCAACGAATAATAACTTTACAATACCATAACTTTTTATATCTTCTTACCACACTCATTTGTACAATCTACCAATCTAGTAAATTTTTCGACAAGTTCATCAAACGATGTAGCAAGTTTTCCAAGAAATTTATCAAAATCAGTATCTGAGTCTTGCTGTGAGAGATTTTGAGACTCTGTAAAACAAGGGTTTCGTTTAATATTAAGAAAAACATTGTAATTCATTACCTCCGTCAATTTGATAAGCTGAACCCCAAACTGCCAGAACACCCATAAGAAGGACCAGCAGCTGCAAAAGTATAGTTTTCGCCATTGTAACACTCAACTTTGAACAACATTTGAAACAGAATTTTTCAGCTCTTAAATAGTAAAACTGAGACGATACGGCACGTTTTATTATTTTTTAAAAATTTGTTATTAATGTTCTTAAGCACGACCCTGATAAAGATTATCGTTGCCATTACGCGCCGCCTATGGTTACTCTCGCGATTTTGACAAATGACATTGACATTGACATTGTTGACAGTTTAAAATGACATTTGTTTAACCGCGCAATGATTTACCTCAAAAAAGTTGTAAGTAATCTTTATCAGTAAAAAATGGATGAAAACATAATCCTCTCCGGTTTAAAAGAAACTTTCAAGTTTGACAGCTTCAAGTCCAGTCTTCAAGAAAATGCCATCAAGGAAATCTGTCAAAGTACACATGTAACGTGATCTTCCAAACAACAATAACATTTTCTTTTGTAGGAAAAAATGACGTTCTTGTTTCAATGCCCACGGGCTCTGGAAAATCGTTGTGCTACCAGCTCCCGGCAGTTCTACACCCCGACAAAGTTACCATTGTGTTTTCACCCCTTCTGGCTCTGATTAAAGATCAAGTCGATCATCTTCAGGCTCTACATGTCAGAGCAGCTTCGCTCAATTCAAAAACGCTAAAAGCGGAACGTGATTCGCTTATGGCTGATTTAAAATGTAAACAAACTTTAACTCGGTTGCTTTATATAACTCCGGAGCAAGCAGCGACACACACTTTTCGGTCTTTGTTCGACTACTTGGTCAAATTTGACAAGGTTGCTTATATTGTGGTAGATGAGGCTCACTGTGTGAGTCAATGGGGGCACGATTTTCGACCAGATTACCTCAAATTGGGGGACTTACGCATCAGTCCTTCAATTCCCTGTCTAGCCTTAACTGCAACAGCAGGTGCTGATGTTACCAAAGATATTATTAAAAATTTGAAGCTCAGCAATAATTTGAAAGTGTTTAAAACGTCATGCTTCCGCGCGAATTTGTTTTATGATGTGTTTTATCAGAATATGTTGGAGAATCCGTTTATGCATTTAAAGAAATTTATCGATGAGTGTCTTAAAGGGGACAGTGAGGACGTGAAAATGGGGGATCGGGGGTGCGGCATCGTGTATTGTAGGACCAGGGAACAGACTGAGGTGGTGTCGAATAAATTGAATAGTTTGGGGGTGCAGTCAAGGTGTTACCATGCGGGATTGCGCAATGCTGATAGGTTAGAGTACCAGGAGGCCTGGCAGAAGGGGGAATATACTGTGATTTGTGCGACAATAAGTTTTGGAATGGGGGTGGATAAAGCTACAGTGAGGTATTTTTTGTTTTTATTTATGGCTAATTTTTGTTCAGAAATAAATGAAAACATTTGTAATCAAGTCATCCGTGGAAAACATTTAGCATGTCGGTGATTAAACCGCACTGATAAATGTCAAAAAATGACAAATGTCAATCAAAGCAAAAATGGCGGATTCAATTCCAAGGATGACATGATTACTATGCCCAACCCGATTTTTTTGCATATTCTATTATTTTCATTCAGATTCGTGGTACACTGGGGCGTACCAAAAGACCCAGCGTCCTTTTACCAAGAATCTGGCCGTGCTGGACGTGATGGTAAACCATCAAAATGCCGAATTTATTATAATAGGGCTGATTGTCGCGCCATTGAGTTCCATCTAAGCCATGATCTTGCTAAAGCTAAAGATAAAGAATCCAGGAAGGCTAAGGCAGAGACTGCCATTAAAGGGTTCAAGAAGATGGTAGAGTACTGCGAAAATGCAAAGTAGGTCATATTTTGTCATAAAATAAATACTGATTGCCGTGTCGTAGCGCGTGCCGCCACAAGTTATTCACTGACCATTTCGGTGAACCCCCGCCTAAATGCTCAAAAAGATGCGACATCTGCAAAGACAAAAAAGCCGTAGAAAAAATGGTGGAGGAGTTCCATGTTAAAAGTATTGAATATAGCAGTAGGGCTTTCAGTTCGCGGGATTTGGACTATTCTGATTTGTACGGCGAGGGACGAAAGGGACAGAAAGAGTAAGTTCTAATAGACTAAAATTGCGACTACATTTAGGGTTTTTTAAAGTGACGCTCAGGATTATGCGAGTGACGAATTTAATAGTGACGTTAGAGAAAAAAGGGCCAAGAAAGAATCGAATCAGTTAATACAGAAGCAGTTTGCTTTGAGAAGGAGCGCGCAGGTGTTTTTATTTTTTATTTTTTGGGGTCAGTGTGACGTTGGGTACTTGTAGGAAGTGTCTCAGAAAACGATAGATAAGTTATTTTCCGAACGTTCCCGAGTGATGGCGGCTTCGTCCACTTCTAGTAAAGTTAAGGGGTTAACGTTGGTACTACGCGAGCAGTATTTATCGAAAATTGTGGAAGTATTACATGCGAATTATAAGGATTGTATGGATGTGGAAGACCAGAGTTTCGACAGGCGGGATGTTGAAGATTGCGCAGTTGAGATGGAGTATTCGGTTTTTACAGCCAACACGAATATGACTATGTATAGGAGTTCTCTAGCGAAGATGGTTAGTTTTTTTTTTTAATACACATATATAAGAACGTAGTTTATGGATTAGTGTTTTAAGGGTGTCAATACAATTTAAGGTCTTCCAGTGGTGGTGGTAAAATTGTTGCATGTATGTAGTTAAAAAAAGTTTCTGCTGTAGTCATTATGTTGTAAGTAATGTACTTTTTGTGCATGTTTAGTGAAGCTTTGTATATATGTAACGTGTACAGGGGTGAGCACGTGACGACACAAAACGATATGGGTTCAAATTCCAGGTAAGTTAAAACCGTAGAAACTTTAATAGTGGAATTTTTAACCTTCATCCCATTTAGCCAGTTGATGACGTCACCTCAAACATTTACTAATTAAACGTTTGCCAAAAAGTACATATTTTTCGAAAGGGTCCGTTTATGTTAGACGAATTGAATGTTTACTTTGATTTCAAATTTAATGTGCGATTAACCCGCGAATCTGGGCATCCGATTGATTGAATTTGATCACGTGATTGATTATGTGCGTGATTGAATTAATGGCGCGATTAAGTGCTTGTGTCAGTCTGGTTTTACAATTCCAAGCATAGCGAATTATCAAAGCACAAGTATAAAAAATCCATGTCACGCTGCATATTTTCAAGTGAGACTTTATCAGTGTTTTGAAATTACGTCACAATTTTTATTTTGGAGGTCGAGTTAAGTAACGTGTTATCGTCATTGCGATAATCTGAAAGTGTACTTGAAATGTTTCAAAATAAATCGGTGAGTAATTAATTTTGGGGTTTGGTTTCTAACAGAAACTAAGAAAACGTGAAATTTTAGATTTTTAGATTTTTTGGGGTGTTTCTGGTCGTTTTTTTAAGGTTCTTTTTTGGAGGTTCTGGATCCATTTTTCGGACGCTCTTTGAAATTTCCTTCATAAGTTCCTTTTCAGAATTTTCTTTTTCAGAAGGCTCTTTTTAAGACTCTTTTTCAGAAGGCTCTTTTTAAGACTCTTTTTCAGAAGGCTCTTTTTAAGACTCTTTTTCAGAAGGCTCTTTTTCAAAACACTCTGTTTCAGAAGACATTTTCAAATGGTTCTTCTTCAGAAGGCCCGTTTTCAAGACTTTTTCGGAAAATTCTTTTTCAGAAGGCTCTTTTTTAAAAGACTCTTTCAGAAAGCCCATTTTCAGAAGGTTCTTTTTCAAAAAACTTTCAGAAAGCCCTTTCTCAGAAGGCTCTTTTTCGGAAGGCTCCTTTTCGACGGATCCCTTTCAGAGGCTTCATTTTCAGAAGTCTCTTTTTTAGAAGGCTCTCTTTAGACTTTTTTTCAGACGGCGTTTTTTTAAGAGGCCCTTTTTCGAGGCTCAAATTAGGCTCCTTTTCTGAGTGTTCTTTTCAGAAGGTTCCTTTTTAGAGGGTTTCTTTTCATAACGTTCTTTTTCGAAAGACTCTTTCAGAAAGTTCTTTTTCAGAAGGCTCTTTTGCACAAGGTTCTTTTTGCGAAGGCTCTTTTTCAAAAGATTCTTTTTCAGAAAACCCTTTTTCATAAGATTCTTTTTCAGAAGGCTTTTTTTCCGAAGGCTCTTTTTCACAAGGTTCTTTTCAGAAGGTTCTTTTTCACAAGGGTCTTTCATAAGACTTTCAGAAAGGTCTTTCTCAGACGGCTTTTTCACAAGGTTATTTTTCCGACGGCTCTTTTTCAAGACTCTTTCAGAAACCTCATTTTCAAAAGGCTCTTTCTCAGAAGGCTCTTTTTCTCAAGGTTCTCTTTCAGAAGGTTCTTTTTCAGAACGCTCTTTTTCAAAAGATGTTTTTTTCAGAAACCTCATTTTCAAAAGGCTCTTTCTCAGAAGGCTCTTTTTCTCAAGGTTGTCTTTCAAAAGGTTCTTTTCCCAAAGGCTCTTTCAAAAGATTTTTTTCCAGAAAGTCCTTTTTCAGAAGGTTCTTTTTCAAAAGACTTCAGAAAGCTTTTTTTTACAAGGTTCTTTTTCAAAAGATTCTTTTTCACAAGGTTCTTTTTCAGAAGGTTGTTTTTCAAAAGGCTCTTTTTCAGAAAGCCTTTTTTCAGAAGGATATTTTTCTCAAGGTTCTCTTTCAGAAGGTTTTATTTAAGAATTCTTTTTTTCTAAAGGCTCTTTTTCAAAAGATTTTTTTTCAGAAAGTACTTTTTCAGAAGGTTCTTTTTCAAAAGACTTTCAGAAGAATTTTTCAAGAGATTCTTTTTCAGAAAGCCCTTTTTCATAAGATTCTTTTTCAGAAAGCTTTTTTTCCAAAGGTTCTTTTTCAAGACTTTCAGAAAGCCCTTTTTCAGAAGGGTTTTTCTCAGAAGGCTCTTTTTCACAAGGTTCTTTTTCAGAAGGCTCTTTTTCAAAAGATTTTCAGAAAGGTTTTCTCGGAAGGCTTTTTCACAAGGTTCTTTTTCAGAAACCGCTTTTTCAAAAGGCTCTTTTTCGATGTTTTTTTTTCAACGAATCCCTTTCAGAGGGTTCCTTTTCAGAGGTCTCTTTTTAGACGACTATTTTTCCGAAAGCTCTTTTTAAGAAAGCCCTTTCGGAAGGCTGCTTTTTTTTGACGGATCCCTTTCAGAGGATTCCTTTTTAGAAGGTCCTTTTTAGAAGGCTTTTTTAAGGACGGCGCTTTTTCAAAAAGTCCATTTTTCGAGGCTCGGTTTAGGCTCCTTTTCAGAGGGTTCTTTTCATAGGGTTCTTTTTCAAAGGGCTCATTTCAAAGGGCTGTTTTTTACTAGTTTTTTTTCCAGAAGATTATTTTCCAGAATGCTCTTTCAAGACTTTCAGAAAGCCCTTTTTTAGAAGGGTCCTTCTCAGAAGACTCTTTTTCACAAGGTTCTTTTTCAGAAGGCTCTTTCAAAAGAGTTTCAGAAAGGTCTTTCTCAGAAGGTTCTTTTGCAGAAGGCTCTTTTTCAAAAGATTTTTTCAGAAAGCCTTTTTCAGAAAGCTCTTTCTTAGAAGGCTCTTTCACAAGGTTCTTTTTCAGAAGGCTCTTTTTTAAAAGACTTTCAGAAAGCTCTTTTTCAGAAGGCTCTTTTTAGAAGGCTTTTTTCAGACGGCGCTTATCCAAAACGCCCCTTTTGGTTGGTTTAGGTTCCTTTTCGGCGAGTCCTTTTTAGAAGCTTCCTTTTAAGAGGGTTTCTTTTCATAGGGTTCCTTTTCAAAGAGTTTCTTTTCAGAGGGCTGCTTGTCAGAAGGCTCTTTTCAAAGAGCTCAAGCAATCAATCAATCCATCAATACTTTATTGGTGTTAAAAACTACAAATACAGTTTTACACAGTTTTTAAGGACTCTTTTTTTTTCAGAAAACCTCTTCTGGAAGGCTCTATTCAGAATTCTTTTTTTAGACGGCTCTTTTTCAGAAGGCTCTCTTTCATAAGGTTTTTTTTCAGACGATTCTTTCTCAGAAGGCTGCTTTTCGACGGATCCCGTTTAAAGGATTCCGTCCTTTTCAAAAGGCTCTTTTTAAAAGACTTTTCAGACGACATTTTTCCAAAAGGCCCTTTTTTCCAGGCTCGATTTAGGCTTCTTTTCGGCGGTTCTTTTCAGAGGGCTGCTTTTCAGAAAGTTTTTTTTAAAGACTTTCAGAAAAGCTCTTTTCCAGAAGGCTGTTTTCTGAATTCTTTTTTCAGACAACTCTTTCAGTTGGCGGTTTTTCAGAAAGCATTTTTCAGGAAGACAGTTTTTTTTTCGAGGGCTACTTTTCAGAAGGGTCTTTCTCAAAAGGCTGTTTTTGACAAGGTTCTTTTTCAGGAGGTTATTTTTCAGAAGGCACTTTTTCAGAAAGCCCTTTTTCATAAGGTTCTTTCTCAGAAGGCTTTTTTTCGGAAGGCTCCTTTTCAGAAGGCTCTTTTTAGGCGGCTTTTTTCAGACGGCGTTTTTTCAAAAAGTCCCTTTTTAGATTCCCTTTTTCGGCGGCTCTTTTTTAGAAGGTTCCTTTTCAGAAAGTTTCTTTTCAGAGGGTTGCTTTTCAGAGGGCTCATTTCAAAGGGCTCTTTTTAAGGAGAAAGCTCTTCAGACGGCACTTTTTCAGAAGGCCACTTTTCGGAGGCTTGGTTTAGTCTTCTTTTTCGCGTTTTTTTTTCGACGGATTTTCCACAGGTGTTTTCAGGAGGTTATTTTTAAATATTATGACCTTGAATTAAGATCAATGAATTAAATGGCAATTTGTTTCAAGCATGAATAGGTCCTAATAATCTAAGTCAACAAAACCTGAATCCAAATGCAAATGTGAAGTAATTCAGCAACATGTCAATGTTACAGTATTTTCCTTAACAATTATTCTGGAATAATAACTATCATCAGGAAAATAAAAATTGAAAAAAATAAAGTTTTAACTTTTTGACAAAACTTAGTATGTGGAACAGTTTTTCTTAAAGGTTTTTTATATTATTATACCTACTGAGTCACATTTTAATTGCTTTACGAGGAGGTTAGTAGGATTAAAAAATTGGTCAAGACACCAAGGAGCCAATTTGCTTAAAAATTAAGATTATTGTATCATAATTATTGCCAGTTTTATGGAGAAAAAACAAACTGTAGGAATAATGTTTTGACATGATTTTGTCTAGTATGAATCGTTTCTTAGAGCATTTAAAAAAAACCGGTGGCACATAATGAAAACTGACACTCAGAATATATCGCTAACTTACCATGCATATTATACTGTTGACATAAATCTTGTGCCGCTTCTTTACTTTGGTGTTTTTAGTACAGTCATGAACCTGTCCAAGTATAGTCCAATCATGTGGCTTTAGTAAAACATATTCCCCCGAAAGTGTTTTTTTATTCTTAGTAAAATTTCTATAAGAAACATTTTTTATTGCACTAATTTCTAAATTGAAAAAATATTAATAACGCTTAAATGGTTCAGTTATAGCGTGACGAAAGTGGGTTATTAAAAAAAAGTTAATTGGCAATACTTCGTCACATTTTTTTTTATACAATAATTATTTCATTTTCTTTATCCAGACTTTTTGTCATATACGTTTTGAGCGTAAGTTGAGGTGTTGGTGTAACTTTAATGAAAAAAAATTGTGCGAAATCCGCAATTTCTCATCAACGATGTCGCGTTTCATTTTAGTTTTATATGGGGATTAATTCCAACTACTATAACGACATAAATTAATTTGAATGTTGAGAGGACGCCAATGGCGCGTTCCGCCAATGTAACCAGCCGAAAATCCCTAACGAAACGTCAGTTTCGAGCTTCGCCTAATTTATCCAAAAAGTATAATTTTTGTAAAATTTTCGGGTTTTGTGAGCAGTGCCCCTCCAGCAAAGACTGTACTACAAAGCACCAATTAACTAAATGGCAATTTCGCACAAAACGTACGCCGTAGACAAGCGAGTTATTTTTAGACTGTGTCCTGTTGACACACATTTCCCATCATTTCCAGATATCGGCGATAAAACGATGCACTGATGACAAAATCGTCTATGAAACCCTACTGACTTTCACCCCCAAACCGGCTAAATATGAAACTCTGGGAGATTTATTCAGGAACATCGAGAAAGAACAAAAGAGCAAAATCAAGACAGGCAGCCAGTCCGAGGAAGTAAGTGTGAAGAAGGCGACGAACGGGACTTTCCAAACCGCTTGGCAGGTGCTAGAGAAAGAAGAGAGGAAGAAACAACCGACGATAGGCGATTTCTTCAAGAAAGTGGAAAGTGAGGTTAAGACTGATGAGATGGGGGAGAAAAAGAATCGTGATTTGAAAAGCCTGTTCGGTGAGGAGCCCGACGAAGAGGAGGGGAAGAAGGTGGACGTCCAAATCGACCATGACAAGAAGGAACGGAAAAGGAAGCACGAGGAGAAGCACAAAAGACAGGAGAAGAAACAGAAAGTTGGCGAGTCTTCCATGGATAAAGAGTACGAGAAGTTTGTCGAGGCGGTCGAGAATAGCGTAGAAAAGAAGAACGAACAAAACGGTGAAAGCAGCAACAAAGTTAAAAAGAATAAATTGAAGAAGACTGAGATTGGGAATCTCGTTGTTAAGTTGCTCACTCCAGCTTATGTGGAAAGGAGGTTTGAATCTAGAGACACTTTCAAAAGCACAGCTAGGAATATATCACATGCTTTAATTGATAAAGGTAATTGAGGTTATGTTATGTACCTGTTATTATTAGATGTTGTCACGTCAGAAGGACGTTAAATTTATTCGCAACTTGTCTATATATTTATTTTTTTACTTTTTGTTGCAGACGAAAATGAAATCAAAGAATACGTCGAGAACTTCCTAAAGAAGAACGACGAAATTACGTCACAGACTGTATTGTGAGGTGAAAAAGCGTTTGGAGTTATTTTTCTAACGAAGTTGTGTTTCATTTGTAAAATTTATTCAGCTCATAAAACTTATTTTAATGTACCTGTATTAAGGGTTTCGTTTCTTTTCTAGAAATAGATATAGAGTTAAGACCGTTATGATTTTAGCGACCTATGGATAAATATAATTTGTTTTGTTTGAGATCCGTTTATTGGCAATGTAAACCCTAGAGTTAGAAATAAGCGAAGTAAACTTTTGTATTTATTGAAGAATTAATTTTACATAAGCATTTTGCAAATTAAATAATCTACCCCACGTTACATGAACAGAAATCCACTCACTTATATTAATAAAGTAAATAAAAATAAAGGGGCCCATGAAAACGAGTGAGGTAACACAGAAAATATAATTTTAAATGTCAATATAAATACACCCCGTGAATTCGTCGAGTGTGCTGAAAACTATCGTGGATTAAAATAAAAAATTAAGTAATCACAGTCCGCTCTTCATTAATCCGTCGGTCTCTTCTCGCTGTGTTTTTTCGTAAACTCTTCAGCGTTTTTCGTAAATTTCTTCTTATCTTTAAGGTATTCTTCAGCTAAGTCTGCACGCAGAGGGTGCTCAGGTTCTGGTTCATTAACGAGTGCCACTAAAGCTTGGATAACTTGATCTGTCTTTGTAGCAGGTTTCCAATTTTCGGCACTAATAATAGGTAGACAGACCTGTCCTTTTTCATCTATATTTGGATGGTATATTTTCGTCTTGAAGTTAATTTTAGGTGGTTTGAAGGGGTATTCTGCTGGGAAATTTATTTCTATTTTAAAAGCGCCTTTATTGTATGGAGGGTTGTCCTAAAAAGGAAATTCTGTGTAAAAATCCCTTTCTAATAAGCACACACATACTGGAACTATTAAACCTTGCCATGTCAAGATGTTTGTTTCGTCCACTTGTATATCCCGGAATGACTTTAATCCTGAATTCCTTATATCTCCCAGTTCCTAAAATATCAATTTATAGTAGGAGTGACTCACCCTGGAGAGAAGTCAAGGTCGGACGATTTTGGGGGCTTTTGCAGGAAAATGACGTTTCCGTTTTTCTTTTACGCTTATTTACGTGATTTCCAGCTGCACCCGACCAGAATTCGCCCAATTTGACTAAACGCGGCTTTGCAATCAGGACGATGACACTCCTGTTTGCAAAACACCGTAACAACAACCAAATACTCACTTTTTGTAACCTCCTAGTGGCTGCCATTTTGTCTACAACTTTTTGGCAAATCACTAACTTTCTAGGGTGATATTTATTTACAAAAACACTTCGACGAAGTAATATTTAGATGAAATTAGATGTTTAATATCAAAAAAAGCACTTGTAACGTTGTAGAAAATATTTTCGTGTTTCACTCGCCCATTACTTTCGTCCTTCCACTAAAATTTGACAGATGAACAGGCCTGCCATCTGTAATTCGTCACACTAAATTCACCCAAATCTATTAAAAACGTAACGGTGCGTGAAAAAGAATTTCACAAAGTTAGTCGATAATGGTTTGTTTGTAATTAATAATTCATCGGTCTCGTTTAACACAATAAAGCCACATTTTGGGATTAGATGTATAACTTGTCGCTGCCAGTATTGTAAAAGCAAAGTCCCTAGCAACGTTTGAATGATTGTAAATGTAACCTCAAAATTTAATGGATAACGAGGCCGACGTTATTGAACATTTTTACGGCGTTTATTTATTGTATTGCACAAATCCTAAATATAAGGGTCGTGTTTACATTGGTTATACTGTAGATCCGAACAGAAGGGTGAAACAACACAATAAAGGTAAACAGTATGGGGGTGCTTGGAAGACCAGTAATAAAGGACCCTGGTATGTTGTTCCACTTTATTTTATTTATATTTATATTTATTATTTACGTTGTAATAACTCACTATCACGTAACACTCATTTGTAAAAAACAAAATACAAAGAATTATGGATCTCGAGAGTTCTAGAGAGTTCCCTTGCTCTCGTAAGCATCACCAATACTCCGTGATTCTTTTTTATACTCGTCACTTCCCTAAGTTCGACGTAATTCAGCCTTCCCCCGATTTCTTTTGATTTCCTCTGATTTCCTTTGAATTCCTGTGATTTCCTTTGATTTCCTGTGATTTCCTTTGATTTTCTATGATTTCCTCTTGATTTCCTATGATTTCTTGTGATTTCCTCTTGATTTCCTATAATTTCCTTTTGATTTCCTCAAAATTTGTTTACATAATGTTCTATAGGGCGATTGTTAACTTTTTTTTAACTTGACTTTTTTGTTTTGCCGATAATAATGTTGAATTTAAACCTTTTTTTACCAAGTGTTTACTAACGTACGGTGACTAGGTAAGCTGAAGTGCTTTCCCTTTAGACGAAAAAAATAAATAAATAAAATGTATTGTGCTGCTAAGCAACAAACTGAAATTTTTAAGAAAAAAAATCTGATTTTACTTACAAAAAGAACGCTACTCTAAAATCGAGGTTTTAGATGTCTAAATCAATAGAGTAAGTATACGTTGGAATTTTACACTTTCTTGGGTCAAATGTTTGTTCTAAAAGTGGGCATATGCAATATTCTAGATTTTTTGCACATTCAGTCAGAAAACCTTATGGTCTATTTTAATTTTGAAATTAAAAATGTCTGGTGTGTACAAATGAGTTCATTTAAATCACTCAAAGATTTAATAAATTATATTATTTATTATTATTAATTTTTTAATAAATTATATTATGAAATTTTGCTTTTGACTTTACGAAATTAAAAGTACATAAGGCCAAGGATATTTTTAGTTACGTCAGCAGTTTTTACTTATCAGTGACTCACTCATAAGGTAACGACGACTGGCTCATACGTTCACAGAGGTAATTAATGAATACCAAATAGTCGAAAATCATTCTATTAGGTTCATCTCTGTGTTGTGCATACAAGATCATGTTAAAGTTTAACCTATTAAATCAAACTTATAATAATAACTTAAGTCATTACTTTTTAAAAATTGGGTTTATTCATTTATTATGGTAGCATAAACAGAAAAAACAAGTAGTTTCATTTATTTTATTAAATGTTAAAAAAAACGGTAACTCTAAACATAAAAGTAGAGCATTTCTGTTGGATCATAACAAAATATCACAAAATAAAACAACTTCTTAAAAAATACTTACCTTATAACCTGGGTCGAGATTTGTGTATATATTGTAGATGATGTTGAAGTATAAAACTGTGCTAAATTCTAGCTACCCATAAATACAGATGATAACACTTTTAATTTTTTGTTCACAACTTTCAAATGAAGCATATTAGAAAAAAACTTTTGAAATGCAAAATTTAACACGTAAGAATTTTTTTTTGCACAATAAAGTAGTGGATAACCCCACTTGATAAATTTTCAGAGGTAATTTTTCCCTTTAAAAGTGTTCATGGGCACCTAGAATTTTGCACAGTTTCTTACTTTAGTATTCTCTACGATATATACTTGTATCTCGACCCAGGTTGAGGTTACATTATCACAAATTTTAATCACATCACTTAAAAAAAAAACTAGAATTAAATGAAATATTTTTTCAATAATTTTTTTTCAAAAACTAAACTGTCTCTTCTGAGTACCTGAGGTGGAGGTAGTTTCATTATATATTCATTTTCTTGGATCTCCCCCTGATCTTTAATGTCCGGAAACATAAAAGCATCCGGAATTTTTGGATTCCTTTTCAAAAAATCACAAAAAATAGGGTTAAGTGATAACATTTTACCAATGTAACATTTTTTGTTTTGTTTTTGAGTTGTTAATTGTACTATAATATAATCGTCTATATTTAAGTCTGGTTTAGAACGATCAGTCTTACTATTTTCAGCCTTGAGATTCAAACGAGGATTCAAATCATCAGAATAATTGGAAGAATTCAAACTTTCGGTGTCCGTGCTGTCATCATATTCGATACTACTTGGGTCGTCTAAATCAGATGAGTCACTTGATATATTATAGCGTCTTTTTTGTTTTCCAATTTGGACTGGTTTTTGAATTTGAGATGCATCTTTATGTTGAAGACAGGTATCAGTTTCTGAGTTAACTCTACTACTTTTACATTTCTTATTTTGAATAAATCTTTTGAGACGATCCACACTGACGCGATCCTTTTCATTGTCTAACAGCCAGCAAAGTGAAGACTTTTTTATAACTTTTGTTGTATTATCTAAGCGTATTCTGACTAGATCACCTTTTTCAAAAAAAATATCGTCACTATCAAAACTTCTAAGGTGTATGTATCTGTCAAATTTCTCAGATTCGTACGAAATTGTGCAAGGATCATTCAGTAAATCTTCATCTTGGTCAACTGGATAGTTTTCCAAACTTTGAAAACGTTACGTTTCATGGCTATTTGAAAATTGTTGTAATTTTCAATGTGATCGCACTGTTCTTCACTAAACATTTCAGCTTCAACTTCGTCATTGCATTCATTGTCTTTACACGGAGGCAAAAATACATAGTTGAAATCTATCACTTTCATTCCTAATCTTCAGTGTCACCCAGACAATCCCTTAAAGCTGATTCTACGGTGCTTTGTATATCTTTATCTGAAATGTTTCCTAAGTCATCATTTTTCACAAAATCTCTCTTCATGATTGAACTTTTTTTTCTGATTTCTCTAGGAAAAACGAATTTTTTATCCAAATCGTTTTTAATGTTGTTTATAGTTTGCAGTCTGTCACTTCGATGCAACATATCTCTTATACTAAAATTAACAATTGTGCTAAAAGTTGAAGTCATTGATCCAAGGCTTCTAAACATACTCTCACAAGTTTGAGAGCTAAACTTCCAAGGCAAGAACATATCATCAGTAAGATTACTTTTTTGAAAAATTTTAATTATTTTTATTAATGCGTGTTCATTGAGTTCAACGCATGTGCAGCAATTGGAAGATAAAAAGTTATCTTTTATTGTATACTGTCTTTGGTCCTTAATCCATTTTTTCCATATTCGTAGGAAAAATATGCAATACCAATTGTTATATATCCTTTCTACAATAGATAACGTTTTGTCCAGGAATGCTGCCTACATAAGATACATTAGTTTCAAATAAGCTGTTGTTCCTGGACTATTGTCAATGTTGTCGGCTATCATTTTTTTTACTTCCGGGTTACACATTTTTTCTGCCGCTGCATAGTTCATTTTGTCTTCTGCTTTCAAATCTGTTATTGTTAGCATATGTTGATCTTTGGTGTAATTTTTTACTAATATTTCAAGGTGAGCAACTGTAGCAACGTAATTCCCTAGAGGTAATATTGAGTCTGATTTTAAAAACTTTTTTCTTAACTTTGTGATAATATGTACAGTGTCTTGGACATACGATGTCAGATCGCTGTCACTGAAACCCATTTGGTACCAGTCCCAATTATTCAAATGATTTTCGTCGGATGAAATAGGTAGACGAGAATTTAAACGCATCGTTTTGAGAAGCCGCGTTTTCTTGTTGATTTCTCGTTAATTTCTCATTGATTTCGTCTTGATTTCTCGTTGATTCCATCTTGATTTCCTTTGATTTCTGATTTCCTGTGATTTCCTTTGATTTCCTCTAGCGTGTACAATTGATTTCCTCTGCGGTTTACCCCTCGAGTAATACCTCCCACTAGAATTACCAACGCTTTTGTCGCTACTCCCTTATGTTTTGGTAAAGTAATTCCCCCAATATACGTCCCACTGTGTACACAATAATCAATCCTAGCTTTTGTATCCATTTCGTCCAATGCCACCATACAATCCCTCCCAAAATCTTGATTAAGCGATTCACATTTAATTTTCAAAAACCCTAGAATTTCAGCTAAAACTCCAGATTTAAACTCTAAATTTTGTAAATGAAAATTCAATGTTCGAATAGCTGGAAATGGTAGTTTCATTTTTCTTAATAAGTTATATCCACTGGTCCCACATCCAAATTTAAGCTTCAAAGCTTTAGTGATTGTTTGATCGGAACATTTTTTGAGTTTTTTCCTTTTTAGAGTCTTAATTTGATCCTTTGTTGATATATTTGCCAAATTTTTCCTTAAATTTGCATTACACACTTTTACAAGTATAATTTCTTGCTTAATTTTTTGTTACTAATTTTTAACATTCTAACTTTTTTCTTAGTGTATCTATCATTCTCTTTCTGTACCGTTACATAGTCAGATGGTTGTTTTCACTTTAGCGGTTAGGCGAAACAAATTCAAGCCAGAGAGGTTGAGAAGAAAGAGAATTATTTGACAGGGGAGATTCAAACTGAAAAGATTCACTGGAGAGCTTACTATTTGAACTATTACTCTCCGTTGTACAGGGAAAAATTGAAGGAACAGCGTTTTTCTTTAATTTTTGGCAATATATTTCCCATTGATCTTCACAGAAATGTTGGCCGCTAACTCGTTCATATTTATTCGGCGCAATGTTCGTGTTTTTTAACCATAGTGCACGAAAATATGGCTTTTGTGGAATAGCTTTAAAGAACATTCCATTCTCAGATCTATTTTTACAACCTTTCACGTTGCAGCCGGTCATTCAAATTTCTACTTGACGAACGGTTATGAATGTCAAATTGACAACATTAAAATAAAATTTCTTTTAAATAGGCCGTGGAAAAAATGATCCACCAATAAAAATGAATCACTCTTCTCATAATTATTATCTAGGTACACTAGATTTACTAAGCTGCCCATATTTGATGTACTGATATTTTTTTAGGTTAATGGTTCTGATAATCCATGGTTTCCCAAACAATATTTCGGCCTTAAGGGTGCGTTTTATTATTATTGTTTAAAAAAAAAAACAACACTATATTTGTCTATTTTATTCTAGTTTGAATGGGCCTGGCAACATCCACACACATCTCGCCGACTACACCACGTCTCTAAAAAGAAATCAAAAGAAAAAGTTTATGATTTTACCATACGTGTTTTATCTGAAATGCTTCTTGTAGGGCCATGGAATCGTCTCCCGTTGACAATTCGGTGGCTCAACGACGACTTTATTCGCGACCTGCCGGTAAAACACTCATTACACCCCAATTTTTGTAACTTGTGAAAGTACGTATTGCAGAAATCGCCACCTATACACATGCCAATCTGCCATGGTTCTGTTATCAGTAAAAAAATAACTCCGAGTACCACTGAGACGTCCGTGGAAAGAATTGTGTTTTGTCATTTTTGTAAAGATGAGGTCGAGAAGGGGATGAAGTGTTTGAATCCTGATTGTGTTTTGGTTAGTCATGTTATTTGCTTTTCTAAGTGTTTTTTTAAAAGTTCAGGTGAGTATGTGCCTATTGAGGGTGAATGTCCGTTGTGTCATAAAGTGTATTTGTGGGGGGATTTAGTAAGGAAGTTTAAAGGTTGTTATGATAGTAGTGATGTGAAGATTAGAGTTGATGCTGGAGATGATTTTTATGGATCAGATTCTGATTAAAAGATTTTAATTTGTAATAATTTGTTGTTTAATTGATCCTGTTCCCTTCAGTACCTATTTCTTTAGTCGTTCCAAGACATAATTTTAGAATTTGGCTGAATAAAAGCATTGGTTGCTATTTCAAATCCAATTCTGATTTGAATGACTCGAGTTTAAAGATTATTGGACGTTGTAGATGAAATTTCTAAACTGAAATCAGTAGAAAGTAGAATGGTAAGTTTCACCCCATTTTTTTTTTCATGTATTTAAGCTATTTTTTAACCTGTTTTAAATTTTTGACGTCAAATTTTTCTTATTAATTATTTCTTATTAGTTATTTAAAAAAAAAATGTGGATTTCTAAAGATTTTGTCTATAATACTAGCGGATCCATACAGAAACCGCTGACGAGATTTTTACAAAAAGTGAAAAACCTCTTGAACGTCAAAATTGGCATGTTTTCTTAAAAATAATCATAAAACACCTTATAATAAATTAAAAAACAAAATGTAGGGTGAAATGTAGCGTTTCACTTACTACTAATTTGCCCCTTTTTTTGGTGCTATATGTATTTATAGGATTGGATATTCCCGTATGTGTGATTCATGAATCCGTGTCGAGTTTTCATCGTAGATGTCCAGATTTTTGAGAAAAAAATCAAAATTTTGTAACATTTTACAATTAACTTTGAAACTTCGAATTCGGTAGAAGTAAAAACATAAACAGTCGAAGTATAAAAAAACACTGTCGAAGTTAGGCATATACTGAGAAATTTAGAATGTCTATATTTTTTTCCGTTAGTTATCTGCTTTAAATATATTTCATATTTAAAGACGCAGGGGTTGCGAGGATATTAATTACGCCATTTTATAATTAAAAAAAAACACGGAATTGTGGGACTATACTTTAAGAGCAAGGAAAGTTCTGTCAAAATAACCGTGCACATTTTTTTTACTAGTTTTGTAGTTTTGTTTTTCTTGGTAGCGCCATCAAAACAATGTGATAACCCAAAGATACCACCTTAAATTGACATGCGAAAAAAAATGAAATCCAGCGAAAAATTTAAAAATTCAAAATTTGGCCTTTTCTGTAATCCTCTAACAAAATGGAACCTACGTTGTGTTTTTGAAAAATGGCGGGATGCGTTCAAATACAAATGTGGACCCCAAGGTGGGAAAAGTACCGCTAAATAAAGCAAAATTATTTATTCCTCCATTGTCAAAAAATTTAAATGAAATCAAATTAAACGTTCTGAATCAATGCAAATATTTGAAAATCACAAATTTAATAAAAAAAAGCAAAATCTAAATTAAAATAACTGGATGCAAATACACAAGTTATAACAGACGTGTGGCGGGAAATTTAAAGTTTTGGCAGTCAACAAGAGAACAAAATTAAAATAAACAAATTATGCAGCGGCATCAGGGCGCTATAAGAGTGTGGCAATCGAACTATGTCGATTTCAGTCTAGAACACAACAAAAATAGGGGCGGGGCGTTGCAGCACGAGCGGAGTTTGGGGCTCCGGGTCGTGGTAGTTCTCCCCCGCGACGGTGATTCTATCTATCGCAAGCCTACCGCACAGTACACCTCCATGACGAACATGCCGTGCTACCCAGACCGTTACGGTTGAAAACTCGTGGATGGAAGTCACGGCTATAGATAAGCTGTCAGCGTCACGTCGTCCAGACCGCTCCGCTGACTTCTATACAAAGCCTGCATCCCTTGTGCAGATGGCGCGATAAATCCCGCTAGCTCGACTAGGAACCGCGCCCTCCGCTTCTGCTACATGTTTTTGTGTCATTTACCTCAATTCCATTTTAAATCTCTAATATTAAACTACAACTGAACAAGTGTTAAAGTTCCAACAAAAGAGCATTAAACAACATTTAAATTCGCCATACACTCTCGCGAAAATTTAAACAAATTATTCTTATTTGAGATTAAAATTGGGCATCAGATAATTTACATGAAGGAAACGTTGATCAACAAAATATTTAGATGAAAAAAACTAGCAAAGATTTATAAACCAAAAAAATATGGTGTGAAGTAAAACTTGTGCACACAAAAATATTACGTGAGGTTAGACTCTGCAGAGCATGAAAATTTACGTTCAATTTAAATTATACAACAAAGAAAATAACTGAGGCTAAAATTGTGAGATAGCGAAAAATTGTATGAGGTGAAAATTGCAAAGCTAACAAATATACATGTTATTAATATTTGCCACACGTTATCAACGATACAAACAAAGAGTTTACATTATGTTAAACGATGCCTTGATCCAAGTGATTGGTTACTTAAAACAATTAACTTTGAGAGTTTATCGTGGACTGTTTATCCCAACAAAACACTTAATAAATAAAAACAAAAATCCAGTCATTGTTGCGAGGAAAAAGCGTCTCGGTGATGTAAATTTTAGCGTTGCGAGGAAATGCTTCGGTGATGTAATCTTTAACATTGCGAGGAAATGCCTCGGTGATGTAATGATGATAACGATGATAACTGTCTAAGGAGAAAAATGATTTTAATCCCCCGCCAGTCCATGATATTACGAACTCCGCTTTTTACTTTTACGGTCTTTTCCCAGAGTGAGGCAACGTTAGATTGATTTAACTGCCGTCAATGAATAGCAATCTTGTGTGAAGAATTAAAGTGTTAGAATGTAACACTTAAGTATTAGCATCCAGAAACCTCATTCATAACTTTGTAAACAAAGGGTGTTATCCCGACAAAGTGAATTTCATGAAATCTCTTAGCAAGTGATTGATTTAAATAAATCTAATGTGTTAAATTGTGTTAGAACCAGTTAACGATTAAAATCTTAACATGAACTGTGAATGTACAAACAATGAATTAAATTTACACGTGTCGGCGTTGGTCAAAAATTCACACCGATTAGAAAGCCGCAAGAATTAGCTGCGCGTGTTGGGGAAAACTGCCGCCGTCGTTACGATTAATTTTTGTTAAACAAAGGCTTCCTCCACTCACGAAACCAAACCAACAATGACGCTTTCGCCAAGCCGTCATCTTGTCTATCAACCAACCTTCTTCTAACCAACCCTCTAACTAAAATCCCTTAGCGAGCTACGAACTACCCAAAAAGCGTTAACGTGCACATGGTTGCCTATGTTTAACGTTTTTTTGATTGATTTTTTTTAATTCAAATTATTCAAATGTGATTTCGCAATTTCAGAGCTTGACGAATTCGCCAGTTTAATAATATTTAAGATTAGAAAATCACTAATTAACTGATTTTACACTAATTACATTTGTTGAGAAATAGACAGTTGCGTCGAATGCGGTTTAGTTTTGTTCAAACAACCCTCTTTAGTAAAATTACAAACTAAATTAGACGTATCCTTAATTTTAACACGTTTTTACTCTCACAACAACAAAATAAGAAGTGATGACGCACCAAATACAACCTAAGGGTGATTTTTTTTTCTCTATTCCCCGAAAACACATCGGTGATTGCTTACGTTTGTTTTTTCAGCGCGAAATTATTTTTCAAATCGGGACACCATAAAAAAACGAATTATTGTTTAATTTTAAGTAGCGAGTGACTATTAATGTTAGTGGTTTTTTTGTTATGTTGGCAACATTTAAAATTGCATGATGGCATAGCTGATATCGAATTCAAATTTTGGGCACCAATTCAGTAGCTGTCATCTTCTCACTGGTTTTTAGGCGCACTCGTGTCGTCAAAATTGACAACTCTGAATGGTTACCCGGTATTTAATTTGTAGTTGTATTTAATCGAGTCCGTCGGCCGACGTTTCCTCGACCTTTCATGACCCCTAGAGTACGAAGAAATAGGTCTCCCGTTTCCGTCCGTCTGTCTGTCGCCTGGATTTTTATTAGACAGATAATCTACGAAAGTACTAGGCCAATTGTTGTCAAATTTTGTATTTATATTCGGAGTATCATGTAGATGGTAAAACGCTAACCAAAATTTGTCCAATCATCCCCACCAATAATGTGATGACGTCACTTCAAAATTGTATATAGTAAATGGCTTTTGAATTGTATAAAATAACATAGTCCTACACTTGTAGTTTATGATTCCGTATTGAGTTTTTACCCGAAACGTCCAGATTTTTGGAAAAAAAATCAAAATTATAAAACACCGTTTTGCCATTTAATTTTGAATCTGCAAAACCGAATGTTTATAATGTATGTATTATTTCCGACGTTTCCAATATTTGTGGGCAAATTTGTAACGTTTGGTTCGCCTCCCGCCATTTTTCAAATGACAACGTGCTGTTCCATTTGTTGACGATCGCAATTCAAAACCAAATTTTGAATTTTTCGCGGGTTTATAAATTTTGTTCAAATGACTAATTTTGGCGCGATGCTTGGGTTGCCACAGCATATTTTGTAGAAGGGAAAAAAACAGTCAGAACTTGAAATTAGGCGAGCCGGAAAATAGATTGAAATTGTATTATTGATATTAGTAGAATGGACGGAAAATATAAATACGTTCATCTGGTATCATCACTTTCTATTGTGTTATTGATTGTATGAAAATAACACACATTTGCTGCAAAAACCGACGCATCCACTAATATTAGTGAAATTAGTCATCAATAACTCAGAGTTCTGTTATGAAAAATGATATGGAATTCGTTTCCATTAAAATAAATAGTTCCGTAATAATTGTAATTTGTGTTAGAAAAAAATGAATGAATGTCTTATTCAGAAAAAAAGTGCTGAATCCATACTGAGGTAGCTCTGGTTCATACTGCAAATGATTTATTTTACAAGTCCCATATTAATTAATTTAAATGTTAAATAGAATAATAGAAGTAATTACCAAATGCCATTTTTGAAACCGAAAAGGCATTAATTAATTTTATGGAATTGCGGATTATGATTTTCAAAGGGAGGAAGGTTAAAGGCAAAATACTTCAAGTTGTTACTACTTTTCTAAATTTATTTTACTCAAAAGAATGCACGGGGCGTTGCTTTCGCAGATCTTCGACAACAATTGTAGTACTTGGTAGTAGTCATACAAATAACTAATAACATTTTTGGCACAGAATAACGAAACGCTTGTTTTTAAGATTGTCATTAATCTTCGCAACAATGATTTTAGAGTAGTGTTCATGTACTTACTTACGGTAACTATTAACCGTCACGATTAAAAAAATTTGTCGCCACTGAAGTGCAGTCCAGCAAATCCAATCTCTGCGAAAAATTATATATCTGATTTTTATGATAACCCCTACAAGTTAAAAATATAGATAATACCAGTCACAGCGTAAAAAGATATTAGATCAATGATTTGTGTTTTTCTTATATGATTATAAAAGGTTGCTACGTAATTTGGATTTTATTTAAGAAAATCTGGATGCCTAGAATAAAAAATCAAGGTGGATTAATAAACCACAGCTACATGAGTATGTTATTTTATAAGATTTAAGTAGCATTTACCATGCAAAATTTTGAGGTGACGTGGTCGAATTGTTATAGTATGTTATAGTTGTTTTTTATATATCTTGCAATAAAATAATTCAGTCAAGAAAGCAAAAAACGATATCAAAAAGCCTCCACCTAGAAAAATAAATGCAGAGAAAATCCGCTCTAAATCTAACAACCCTTCAGTGTCTTCATAATCTGCAACAGATGTTTTGTTAACGTTCACTTGACTTTCATCTACCCATTTATCAACGAATCCACTTTCTATAATTCGATACAATGCATCATTAATTGTATTCAAACAGGGTAATCCTCTTTTAACCATGAAGTAAGCCTCTAACCGTGCTACCTAAAAACTAAAAATAACACTAAAATTTACAAAAATACTGTTACCTGCTCTTGTGACACCAACTGCAAACTTTTGTAATTTTTAACGTATAACAATCTAGTGTCAGAAGTTATTACACCATAATCTAAATCGTGAACGAAATCTTCCAATTCCTTCTCAAAGGGTACATTTTCAAGAGCTTCAACTCTCAGCGTAATTATATTTTCGTAGACACCTCTGCCTATAAAGAACTGTTTCCAGTTATCAGCATATTTCAGTTTTTTGTTACTTTGGGCCAACGCTTTAAGTGTCAATATTTTTGGTTCGTAGTTCGGCTTACTCAAAATCCCGCTTAACTGACTTATATAAATCCAGTTTAAATTAGTAACGTACTGTAGAAAAAAACCGAAAATCAATCTTTTTAGGAAACTTTGAGGTACGTTCCTCAAGGTACACTGCAGCATGAGCCTTACTACAAGAAACAAAGACGTTTCAAGGGATTTCTTAACCACCATCTTGCAAATTATGGTCATTAGTATCACTGAAGCGGAAATCAGATACCAAATTTCCTTTGGGAAAACTACCAAAGTTTCGGCACTGCTGACGACCTTACGGCGCGGAGGCAATACGAAATAACAGTAAACAGTTTGATATCTTATGCTGACTTCGAACTGTGGCCCTGTAGCTACTACCACCGGTAGCACCATAGACACTAAATCAATATTTTTTTCAATCATGTGTTCTATTATATTTTGCATTGCAAATTTGCTTGGTATTGCGTATCGAACATTGTCCGTTAAGTAAACCAGATTTATACCTACTAGAGGAGCCATGGCGTCTAAAACTCGTGGGATATACCCTGGATCTGTTTTATCAAACGGGTTTTTCATTGCTAAGGCTATTGCATCCCATGTTACATTAACAGGGCAATTGTTAAATCGTTTAGGAATTTTGTTCTTGTAGGGGTTTGACAGTTCATTGGTTACTAAATTAACAACTGTACCACACTGGTTTCTGCGATGGTACGGATACCATGTGACAAATGAGTGGTTAGAGTATATTACAACGTTGTAAACGTAAAAGCGCCATAACAACTCAAATATGACTTTTGTGTCATTCTCAGTCAAGTTATTTTGGCCGACGATCAGGAATTTGCCCCTGGTATTGATCTTGTATTTGACTAAATCTATGGTAGAAGACAGTGTACTCCAATTTGACTCACTGATTATGTAGGTGTCAAATTGTTCTAAGCTGGGAGCATTTTCTGGATTGATTATGATTTTGCACTCGATCAAACGCAAAATGAAACCTAGTGTTTCCTCGAAATCGTGAAAATTTGAACTGATAATGGCGATTGTTTGTTTGGCGAAATGTCTGTGGATGAATTCGTTAAGTGGTGCGATGGTGTGTAAAAGTAATAATTTTAAAGCAAACTGTGAGGTAAACATTTTTCGTGGAAGGTTAATTTTAATTTAGGTTTAGTGAACATGAAACTCGTAGTAGCGTTAACTAGAATGTAATTTGGACATGTGTTGTAAGAAAATACACACAAAGATAACCGTAAACGTATAATAATTATAGTAATTACTCAATATTCGTTAGTGCTGTCACGTAACTTTCAAATTTATTGGTTTGTTTTTAGGAACATTAAGCTAATGTTGTAGATAGATGAATCGAGAGGGTTCCTACAAAAAATGCTTTAATGTATTTCTAAAATATAAACATTATGTGTGGTTAGTCTTTCCTGTAAAGCTGTGTATAGACAGTGATATTAAATATATCATAATTACTTTGAGATAAATGACATTTTTATTAGAATTTTGGCGGAACCAAGTTTTGACTTATCCATTTATGAAGGAAAAAAAAAGAGTCCTCGACGAGTTGATTCGGAGCATCCATTTTGCAGTTGCTAAATTAAATTGTAAAATGTTGTTACACTATTTTGATTGTTGGTTGCCTAGGTTAAAAAATCAAGGTGGATTCATAAACCACAAGTACAGTAGTATGTTATTAAATTCGTGGTGGTGTGTTAGACAAATTTTTACCACGGGGAACTAACTTACAATATACGTCACGTACCTTTTCGTGATTGTAATAATGTAACATTAAAAATCTTGTTTACATTATTAAATCTTATCTCGATAAGTTAATACTTCCAAATAAGATATCGATTCTGATTAATAGGTGTAAAATGTATAAAAATTAGTATGACGCATACTTACTTACTTTGTTGTGATGGTGTGCTGTATTCTCTACAAGAAACATTTTCCTGTCGTAAGTATTTTTTGAATGCTATTGCAATAGATACAGTTTCGTTAAATGTTATGATTTTTCCAAAATCACTGTTGTCTAATTTTAATTTATTTCCTCTTCTAGTTTTCAGTTCAAAAGTTTTTGGTAATTTTTGGGTACTGGTTAAAGGTGCACAATTATTTAGATAATGCCGTCATCAAATAAGCAATCGAGAGATTTTCACAATGCGACGTCACGTAACATCAATACGAATAAAAGAGTAAGTTTCGTTTTTTCATTTGTAAGTTTATTTATAATTATAACGCATATACCGGTGTCCTAACGTAGGTATATAAAAATTTGAACTTAGGCATGTTCAATATATGTAATACAATCCGTTAAATGTGTAGACTATTGGCATCGTATTAGCTTTAGTTGCACCGAAAATGACATCAACTTTTTTTCTAAACCTTGAAGAGTACAGTTTGTAGTACTATAAAAGTTATTCGGTAAAACAGTAGTTATCTAGAAGTTTTAAAACGCTTGTGAATTTAAAAAAATAATACGGTGGCGTTTCTCATGTATTATTTTGGGAGCCCATGGGGATTTGTTTTGTAAACTATTTAGAACAATTTTGGGGGACTTTGGTGTTCCATTTTTGGAAAATTTTGACCTGATCTATTTTTGAGTTAATTTTGGGACTCCGTTTTTTTTTTGGAAAATTTAAAATAATCTTGAGGTTCTAGATATTCCTGCTTGGAAAGAATTTGAAAGTGCTTTGGAGCTTCTAGTGTTTTTTCTGATAATACTTTAATTAAATTTCTATGGATAGTGTGATAACCCAAACTTCCCGCCTTTAAATTGCCCTTGAAAAAGTTTGAAAGGCTCGAGAAAAATTCAAAGTTTGGCCTTGGCTGTGATCGTCTAACAAAATGGAAACCTACGTTGTGTGTTTTTTTTTGAAAAATGGCGGGAAGACGTTCTTTCATACAAGTGAGCATACACTGCATGTGACTCGAGAGCGCAAGAAATAATAGACAAAATTTTTGGGAGGGGGCTAAAATTCGCACCCCCTCTCTAGGAGGAAAAGAGCTGCGAGCATTCACTCCTCAGCCCCAAAAACCCCTTATCCTATATTCACCGACGTATTACATTTCAAACGAAACACATTAAAAATACGAGAGAAAAAGACACTCGGGAATTGATACACATATGAAAACCAAACAAGTACAAAACCCTACGTTTATGTTTTGAATCAATGCAAATATTTGAATATCACAAATTTAATAAAAGCAAAGCAAAATCTGAATTAAAGTAACTGGATGCAAATACCCAAGCCATTACGGGCGTGTGGCGTCAGATTTTACAGTTATGACAGTCAACAGGAGCACAATAAAAGTACCGCTGGGGCACAAGCGGAGTTTGGGGCTACCGGTCGAGGCTGTTCTCCCCCCACGACGGTGAATCTATCCATCGCAAGCCTACCCGCACAGCACATTACACATCTCCATGACGAACATGCCGTCCGAAACTAGGCCGTTGCGGTCGTAGACCCGTAGTTGGATCTGGACTAAGGACAGAAGCCGAGAGCGTTACAAAATTGGCGGCCGCCCCTGAATCTATCCAAACCTGTACCCTTTGTGCAGGTGACGTGATAGATCTCGCCAGCTCGACTAGGAACCGCACTTCGCTTCTGCCACGTTTTCTGTATTATTTAACCTCAATTCGATTTTAAATGTTCAATTTCTTATGACTCTGATAATAGCCCCTAGAAATACATAGTAGCGTCATCCATTGTTGTACGAGTGGAGCAAATGCAGTTGGTAACGCAAAAAATTCCCCTAGTTTGGAACCAAATTGTGTCAGCAGAGAGTTGACAGCGCGTAAACTGTGGCGTAAACCGTTGTTGTCACGTGGTCTTGGCGTGATCTTTTTGTTTAAAGTCAATTAATTGTCAATTAATATAACTAATAATTGTTAAATACGATTTTATTGATTAAATTTTATATTTTATTCAAATTAAAACTCCATATTTTGTATATAAACTACAAACTTTAAATCCAACATAAAACCATTTCAAATTTCGCGGTCTGTCAAATGGTGTTTATAATTTTTCTTTTTGTTAAATTTCCGCCAGGTTTGCTCCACGGCGACGATACTATGTGTTTTCTAGGGGCTATAACATCTACTGTGCTATAACTCTGATATTAACAACAACTGAACTAGTATTAAAGTTTCAAACGAGCAGTAAACAATATTTAAATTCGCCATACAATCTTGGGAAATTTTAAACAACAAATAATTCTTATGTGAGATTGAAATTGGACATCAAATAATTTATACGATTGAAACATTCATCAACAAAATATTTACAAAAAAAAAACTAGTAAAGATTTATGAAAAACAAAAGATCTGGTGTGAAACAAACTTGTGCAAATAAAAATATTACGTGAGGTTAAAACTGTAGAACATGAAACTTACGTTCAATTAAAATTACACAACAAAGAAAATTACCGAAGTTAAAATTGTGAGATAGAGAAACATTGTATAAGGTGAAAAATTGCAAAGTTAACAAAATTTACATGAGATTAATACTTGCCACACTTTATCAATGATTCAAACAAACAGTTTACATTATGTCAAAATATATCATGATCTTTATATGAGATTAATATTTGCCACACTTTATCAACGATTCAAACAAAGAGTTTACATTGTGTTAAATTATATCATGATCCAAGTGATTGTTTACTTCCAAAAAAAAAAAAAATTACTTTGAGAGTTTAGCATACCACGAACTGGTTACCCCAACACAACACATAATAAATAAACACAAAAATATTCAGTCATCGTTGCGAGCAAAAAGCGTCTCGGTGATGTAATTGGTGTTATTAATCTCTAGCGTTGCGAGGACATGCCTCGTTGATGTAGTCAATCTATATCATTGCGAGGACATGCCTCGATGTTTTCAGCGTTGTGGGGGCATACCTCGGTGATGTAATCATGATAACGATGATAATAACGATGATAACTGCCTAAGGGAAGAATTTTTTTACCGCCCGTCAGTTCGCGGTATGAATTTTGTTAATTTAACTGCCGTAAATGAACTATTAGCAATCTTGTGTGAAGAATTAAGAAGTGTTATAATGTAACACTTACGTATATGCATCTAGAAATGTATTCGTAGTTTGTTAAACAAAGAATTATTATCTTGATTAAATGAATTTCATGAAATCTCCTAGTAAGTGGTTTATTTAAATAATCCTGATTGTTAAATTGTGTTAGCACTAGCTGACGATTAAAAAAACTAACTCGATTGGTGAATTTACAAACAACAAAACAAATCTAGATCACATGGTCCGCGTTAAACGAAAGTCCGCATTTTTTCCGATTAAAAGGCCGCATGAATTAGTCGCACGGATTCGGGAAACTGGGCGCCGCCGGTTACGATTGATTGTCGTTAAACAAAGGCTTTCTCCCTTTTATTAACTACCAAACCAGCTAATTTAAACCTAGCTACTTTCAGCGTCCTTTCACCATGCATCCACTACACCGAACCGAAAGATAATGACTCACGCTTTCAACATGCCACCCTCTCCTCCCAAGCCGCCCTCTAACTAAACACGCAGAACTAACCCCAACGTGCATATTTGGTTGCCTATGTTTAACGATTTCTTTTATTGTGATTGAATTTTTCTTCTCTTTCAAATTCAAATTGTTCAAATGTGATTTCGCGCGGAAAATTTGATTCAAATTCGGTCACCACAATAGGATATGTCATTTGCTAAAATAAATCTTATCTTAGTAGGTAGTAAGACCGCTCACCCGCCCTCTATTTTCTTAGAGGGATCTCATTAGCCAAAATCAGTCTTATCTTAGCAGATACTAGCCCGCTAAGAAAATAAAGGGGGGGTGGGCGGGGCTAGTGCTAGTGCCTACTAAGATAAGACTGATTTTGCCAAATGACATACCCTCTAAGAAAATGAAAGGTAGAGGGTATATCATTTCTCAAAATCAGTCTTATCTTGGCAAGTATTGGCCCCGCCCATGCTTTATTTTCTTGGAGGGTATTTTGTTTGGCAATATCAGCCTTATCTTGACAGCTACTAGCTCCGCCTACCCACCCTCTCTTCTTTTAGAGGGTATCTCATTTGCTAAAATCAGCCTTATCTTCAGAGCTACTAGCCCCGCCCTCCCACCCTCTCTTTTCTTAGTGCCTACTAAGATAAGACTGATTTTGCCAAGCAACATATCCTCTAAGAAAATAAAGGGTGGGTTAGTTCTTGCCAAAATAAGACTGATTTAGGCAAATGACCACCCATCCCCTCTAAGAAAAGAGGGGATGGGTGGGCGGGACTAGCACTTGTTAAGATAAAATTGATATTGCCAAATGGCATACCCAAGAAGAAAATAAAGGGTGGGTGGGTGGGGCCAATACTTGTCAAGATAAGACTGATTTTGGGAAATACCCTTGGCAAAATCAGTTTTATTTTTTATTTTATTTTTTCGAACCCCTGAAACCCCCGTACATAACGTACTGAAGAGTTAATCCGCGATTTTCCAGACATCCGGTATATTTGAAAAGACAAAAAAGGGTGCTATTTAATGTATGGAAAAATTATACCCTTTTGTATTAAAAAAAAGAAAAATGATGTCATTTCCGGCACAAGTGAAACTAGTACGACGCCAGTAATTTATCTATTTAATAGACTGTGGTATATATTTTGAACATGTCAAATTTCAGCCTTTTATATTTTAAAATAATTGAGATATTTGTGTCGAACTGGCAAGCTGGGACACCCGGTATAATATACTAGACTATTTTGAAAATTTCTGATTCTATTACTCGTCACTGTTCGGAATGTTAGAATTTTTTCGAGCAGAAATGATTAATTATATGCTTCTAAAACCCGCAATCTCTCTAAAACACTTGTCCATTTTTTCAGATTTTCAAAAAACGTCCAGGCACTACGGACATAGGAAAAGATTATGAGGACCTCATGATAGCCAATCTTACTTTGCAGTTATTAAAAGACACCAATATCGAAGATTTCTTTCTATGGTCGAACGACGAACAATTCGGTGCCTTTGACGACGTCATTGTCGAAGTGAAGTCAAAAGACAAACCTACAGAAAAATACGCGCTACAGTTAAAACACATAAGCCAAAAATCGAAGAAACTTAGCCTATCGAGTTTAACAGAAGAGTCGGGAAATTTCGCCATCAACAAATATTTCGAATCCTACCAAACAATCAAAGACTCGATTTCAAACTTCAGAGTGGTTTTGTTTACAAATCTCAAGTTCAGTCTTGATAAGACGGTGCAGCTTCAAATAAAAATTGATGGCAAAACTGTCCAAGTGGAAATTATTAAATGTAGCGCTGACACGAAATTGAACACGAGTAAAGACAGTGCGGAGTGCTACAAATTTAAAATTGTAGACGATGTAGCACCCAGTGAGCTAAATCACTTTTTTGGAAGATTTTTTCTTTACACGAATCAAATGAGTGTGGATGAGGTGAAAACTAGGGTTTGTACGCAATTACAGACAATGTTTTCTTGTAAAAACACAGTTTCGGAGAAGTATCTCAAATTTATCTCTCAGTGGAGTATACGGGAAGGAGTGAAAAACAAACTGGACAAAGAACTGATGGAACAAATAATTGCACTATATTTAGTTGGTCCCTTTATCCAATCACTGTGTTTTTCTGATACTGACGCCAGCGAAAATCAGAAACTTCTACAAAGGGTAGTTTTAAATTTTCACGTAACAAGATTTAGAAAAGAATGGGTTGGTGATGTGAAGCGATTGTTCAGTGACGCTAAAAGAGGAGTTAGTACAGAGAATTTGGATAAAGTGAATCAGAATTTTCAAATAACTAATTTAGAACAACTAACTGATGATAATTTTACAATATTGTTGTGGCTAATGAACAAATGCCCGTTGATTGTCCAAGAGAATCCAGAATTTGACCAAGTTGTCAAACTGTGTCCAAGAAAAAGTTTCATCTTGATTGGCGACGACGTACTGGAAGAATCAAGAGGCAAAATCTTCCAAAAGTTATCAGATTTAAACTACGACGATTATATACTGGATAGCATAATAACGAACTTTAAATGCTTATTGTCAGGAGAAGAAATTTCTTTGTCGAATTTGCTTCAGGCAGATGCGAGCTTTCGTGACGTTATATCTACAAACGAGCTTCTAAGGATGACTCAAGGACCTTATGAAGTGAAACAAACCGAGGAGGAAATTCCCACACCATACATAAGTAGATTTTTATCTAGAAATTTGTTCTTTTTGACTTATTTACACGCTGTTGATGATAGCACGCTGATTTTTATAAGCAGCGCTACATCCGAACAGGACACAAATTTGCTTAAGAAATATAGACCAATTTTTGTTGATGACTATCAAGATGAAGATAAGTTGCTTCATTTTGAGCAGTTTTTTTCAAGACGGAACATCTATGTGAGCACGAAAATCTGTTCCCAAAGGGAGTTTTATTCAATTTGTGAGAGAAATTCCATGATGAAGACGTTTCATCACTTTAGAATTTTCGACGGAATGTTGGAATGGGTTCAAAGCAGAAGCAACAATATTGAAGATTTGGAACAACAACGTATCAGAAGAGAGCATAGTGCAAGTGAATTAGAGCTTTCAGACTTTGGTAATTTTGTCAACATAATAAGCGGCGAATCTGGAATGGGGAAGTCTTGTTTGTTCAGAAATTTGAAGAATAGAATGTCCTTCAAAACATGGACTGTCATTTTTTCCGTTCGAGATATAACAAACATTTGTGACAATTATCGAGGGAAAAAATTTTGCGACGACTTAGAAGATTTCCTAATACAACTAAAATTTTCTAAGTATGACAGGTTTGACCAACACGTTATCAAATTTATGTTGCAAAATCAACAGGTAGTGTTTCTTTGGGACGGACTGGATGAGCTTGTGTCTGACGATAATATGGCGATCATAACAAACGTGGTCAAAAAATTTTCGGAAAAAAACGTAGTGCAGTGGTTAAGCTGCCGAAATCATCTAAAAAATGCACTGGAACGTACATTTAACGTGCTGGCGAGAACACTGTTACCTTATTCAGAAGAACAACAAATTTATTATATTCAAGACCGACTCAAGTTTGTGGATATTGACGAAAATCATCTTGAGGACCTCATTTCAAATTTAAAAGATAATCCTGGAAGGACTTTATCGAACGACATACTAAGAAATCCTTTACAAATTTACATGCTCACAGAACTCTGTCGACGAGACACCAAAAAGTACACAAAATTATTAAGCCAGACTTTTCTCCTAACCGACTTATACCAGCACTTCATTGAAGAAAAATTAGTATTCTTCTATAGCGACAAAGTCAAACTAAATGATTCACAAATCAACCAGTTAAAACAAGTTATTAGAAGTCACTTCCGACAACTGGAAATTGTAGCCCTGAAGGTACTATTTGAACCCGAGTTTTTGCAAAAGTTGAATATCGACTGGGAATTTGAAGACGACAGTGACAGTTTTGGCTTCACCACTTCGCATATTTCGTATGCTGAATACTTCGTGGCAACTTATTTTTCCAAACGGAAGGTACCTTACCTGAAGGAGGTCATCTTTCACGAAAAATATACAAACGTGAGATATTTTTTTGACATGTTGTTAGCCAAAAGTTCTCCTGTCCACATTGCTGTTTTGCACACAAGTATAAGTCAGCTCAAAATGTGTCCAGAAGATATCCAGAAGAAGGATTTGGGAGGCAGGAATGTTTTACAGTTAGCGTCTTCCTGGGGACGAAGATATCCACTCTTGAACTTCAAAAAAGAAAGTGATGCGTTTGTGTTAAACGAGAAAGAACCATCAGTGAAAGCAGAAGCAGAAGAATACTTACAGATTTTGGAACATTTAACAGAAGGCGTCGACGCAGACCAGACTGACGACATTTTTAACATGAACGCAATGAAGTATGCAGAAAGTGCAAACTGCTTATTTCCACTAGCTGTGCTTGAAGAGAAAAGAAAATCTGGGTATTTTCAAACAAAAAGCGACAATTTCAACTGCACTTGTTTGTACTATTTTACCAAATTTGGCCACTTGAAATATATTACCCAATTCCAAAGCTATTTAAATTTTGTTAGAACGAGTAAAGGTGAAACGCTGCTTCATATAGCTTGCGAAAACAGACACCAACATGTCGTGAGTTTCCTAATCCAGTTTGGGTTAGATGTTAACAGTTGCGACCTCGATGCTCAAACTTGTCTTTATCCAGCAGCAAGACTTGGAGATGTTACAATTGTAAAGTTGCTTCTCACTAACGGTGCTAAAGCTAACATCTACAACACCGAAAAATGGACACCGCTTTTCGTGGCTTCTTACAATGGACATCATCAAGTTGTCGAACTTCTGATTGATGGGTCAGATCTTAATGCTTCTGATAAGTACGAGTGGACACCACTTCATTCGGCATCCTTCAGCGGTTATGAAAAAATCTGCGATACGTTGGTCAAGCATGGTGCAGATCTTAATGTAACGGAAAAATATGGCTGGACTCCACTTCATACAGCGTCGTATAGTGGCCACCCAAATATAGTTAAATTGCTGCTCAAGAACGGTGCTGAAATCAACGCTCGGGATAAATATGGTTGGACCTTGTTTTACCCACACAGGAACTACCAAAACGACGCTAGTTATCTGGAATTGTTATCTGACAATAAAACGTCGTTTTATTCCACTATCTATAACCTCCACGACAGAGTGCTTGAATTTCTCCACGGACTTAACTTCACCACTTCTGAGAAAACCGGATGGACTTCTCTTTTCGTGGCGGCTCATAACAGTCACGACGAAGTTGTCGATCTCTTAGCTAAATCAGGCGCCGATTTAGATGTTTGTGATAGCGATGGTAGAACAGCCCTTTACTCAGCCTGTGAAAATGGTTGTGAAAGCGTTGTCCAACTTTTGGTTAAACATGGTGCCAACATCAACGCCTCTGACAAAAAAGGTCATACACAACTTCACACAGCTTCAGCAACTGACACTAGAAAAGTTGTTGACTTGTTAATTAAGTACGGAGCTGATATAAATGCACCAGATGGACTTGGTTGTACCCCACTTCACCTAGCGGCAGAATTTGGACGCGCAGAAGTTGTACAACGCTTGATTTTGTCAAACGTTGATGTCAACGCGTCTGACAAAAACGGATTTACACCACTTCATACAGCTGCTTATCAAGGGCACACTAAAGTTGTCGATTTCTTGATTCAAAGTGGTGCGGATTTAAATCGATCGGGTAAAAATGGTCAAACTCCGCTTTACTCGGCTTCTAGACATGGACATGAAGGTGTTATTAAATTGTTGGTTAAATTTGGCGCTGATGTTAATGTGAGGGACGTTGATGGTCGGACAGCGCTGCACTCGGCTTGTTACAGTGGACACATAAGGGCTGTTGAGATACTGACGGTTTCTGGGGCTGATATTAATGCCTCTACTGGAGATGGCTGGACACCGCTTTATATAGCTTCTGGAAAAGGTGATGATGGGATTGTGGAACGTTTGGTCAAGTTGGGGGCGCAGATTGATGTTTTTAGTAAGAGTGGGTTAATGCCGCTACATTTAGCTTGTAAAAGGGGGCATGGAAGAGTCGTAGAGTTGTTGATTAAATCTGGAGCGGATATAAATGCTTTGTCGAAGGATGGTCAAACTGCACTTGATTTTGCCTCTAGTCAGGGACATTTCAGTGTTGTGGAAATTTTAGTGAAACATACGACTGCACGAACTCCTTTTACTGTCGATGAATGTATTTAAAAGTGTTAATTATACAATATGTGGAAAAAATATTTTTGTATATATACAAGACATTAACAGATCTACGATTTACTACCAAAATTCCTGATAAAATTCAGGGTTGGGTTGGCACAATTTTTATTTGATTCTTCTGTCACAATAAAGTCAGCTTTTTTGCCAAAAACACTGGGGAAGTTTTCTCATTTATGATGCGAGATTTGACTTGGCTATAGTTTTAGTGTGGCGGACCGGAAATTCTTGCCTGGATTCCGGAATCATTTTCAAATGAGTGAGCCATTCAAACCATTTATTACTTTCCATAGTTTCACATATTCACGTCGTGCTCATCTATGTTTAATCTTCTTCCAAGAATTTAGTCGAAATATATTCCTTCCCAAATATGGGTAGCACTTGAATATCACAAATTTAATAAAAACGGAAAAATCTAAATTAAAGTAACTTAATTAGACTTAAAATTTCCTACATTATGGCGAGATCAAATGGAAACACTAAATTGTCACTCTGTCAACAATTCAAACAACGATTTTACATGATGCTGAATTATGCCACACTTTATAAACAATTTAAACAAAGAATTTACATGATGTTAAATTCTGCCACACTTTATCAACGATTCAAACAAAGAATTTCCATGATGTTAAATGATGCCACACTTTATCAACGATTCGAACAAAGACAAAGCTTTGAGAGTTTATGTCGTGGACTTCGCCCAGCTTATGCCAATAACAAACACATGGTAAATAAGGACAAAATGCATCCCTCGTCGCGAGAAATACGTCTTGGTGGTATCCAGGGGATAACTACCTAAGGGAAAAAAAAATCCTCCTGTCCCTCAGTCCGCGATCTTTTGAATTCTACCGTACTTCCCAAAGTCCTTTTTCCGAGCGTGGGACAACGTTAGGTTAATTTAATTGCCGTAAATGAACTATTAGCAGTCTTGTGTGAGGAATTAGGAGAAGAATTACCGTCCCAACCGACCATCCCCCAGGCATCAACCGGGGGATATCCCTTTCCACCCTCCAGGCATTAACCAGAGGACTTCTCGACATCAACCGGGGGATATCCCATCCGCCTCCAGGCATTAACCAGAGGATTACCGTCCCAACCGACCATCCCCCAGGCATCAACCGGGGGATATACCTGTCCGCCCTCCAGGCATTAACCGGAGGACTCCCGTCGCAACCGGGGGATAAACGACCCGACCTAGCGCCGCTCGGCATTAACCGCAGCGTTCTACCCCACAACCGCCGTCCACCTTTTGTACGTCGACCATATGCTTACGTCCCTGATTACTGTGTATGTTCTGTGTTGAATAAATATTTTCCTTCCACTAGTGGTTTTCTTTGAAGTCCTGGAAGTTACCGTCTTCGACCGACTACCCCAGCACTGAAAAGGGAAAGAACCCGTTACAGTGATTCTCATGAAATCTCCTAGCAAGTGCTTCATCTGAACAATCTCATGACTGTTAAATTGCGTTAGAACCAGTAACGATTAAAATCCTAACATGAACTGTGTATTTACAAACAATAAATCAAATGTGCACCGCGTGTTGGCGTAGGTCGAAAATTCGCATATTTCGACCTATTATTAATAATTGAAGTTATTGCGGTGGTGTGGTAGCAAATTTAAATATGGACAAAATTAAAAAATTCAAATCATAGATCACGGTTATGGGATCGATGTTTCTGATCAAGGCGATCGAGCCCTTCACGTGGGCCAAGGTGTGTTAAATTCTGACCGTATTATCCACTTACTTCACGGACGACCAGGCTGAAGGGAATGCCATTCCATAAGGGAGTGGGTATCCCAGATTGGAACGGAACTTAGAAAAATAACTGTTAATTTAAAGACAATATTTTTTTATTCATTATTTGTATAAATAAATAAATCAAATAATGTCCAAAATTTACACAAAAATGCAAAATGCTAAAATTATCATCAGAAGATATTTTTTCTCATGAACATTTGTAAAATATTTCCTCCTCTAAGATCTTCTATCCTTCAACATTACGAGAACAACCTTTGGCTAACAACGCATCGAAAAAAAATCTTACATTAGAGTTTTTGTCTTTAAATAAAATATCCACCAAATTTTCTCCTTTCCGTTTCAGAAGATACGTTGCCACAAAGTACTCAGCGTAAGAAACGTGAGCAAAAACTGGTTGAAGCGTATTCTCTGTAACTTCAGTTATAAAACCAAAACAGTCACCCTCTTGTTGTACATCATTTAGAAAGTCATCACAGTCAATATTCACCTGTTCTAAAACTCCACCACCAAGAAGTGCTTTCATAGCTGCTTTCTGATATTGTTTAATGTGGTCATTTTGCATCTGTCGAAGCTGATTCTTCTGCTCTGTATAAACCTTTACTTTATCTTTGTAATAAAAGTTAAACTTCTCTTCAACAAAATAATGATACATGTCTGCCACAGAAAACCCTTCTTTTAACACATCAAAAAACTTATCTTCATTTTGTTTACAAAGTTCTGTGAACATGTGAATTTGTAAAGGAATACTTAAGACGTCTCCAAATCTTGTTAAAGCAACGTTATTTTTCACGTCATCTAAATTTTGATCATCACAATGAAGAGGTTTCATCCGTTCTTTAATAAAACCCAGTTGTTGCTCTTCAGTGAATGCTAGAATTTCTCGAGCACAAACGCAAAACTTTGCTTCAAGAATGTATTTCAGACGTCGTCTGCAAGTTAACCATTGCGCAATACCTTTATCGGAAAATTTTTGAATAACACCTACTACGATATTTATGTTATCATCACAATTAATATTTTCTATAATTTCATCCAGTTCATCCCAAAAAAACATGACTTGATTTTTCTGGAATAAAAACTTGACAACAGACTTGTCGAACTCTTTGTAAGACGAAAATTTCAAATCGATAATATAATCTAATAAGTTGGGGCTTTGCAGATATTTGCAAATCTCTTTCATGTCTTGGGGCGAAAAAGTAACCGTGAAAATTTTCGAGGAAAACGTGTTCTTTAGATTTTTCATTAGGGAGGATTTTCCGAATCCAGGATCGCTGGCTATAATATGGATATTGTTCCATGAAGTTGTTTCCCATAAGTCGTTCTCCTCTATAGAATAACCTTGTACTAGATGATTTTCAACGACGGAAATATCGTTGACGCTTTTCATCCATTCTAAAAACCCATTCCATATTCTAAAATGATGGAAACTTTTCTTGTCTGCGTTTTGTTGACATAATGCGAGAAATTCCTTCTGTGAAGACATTTTTCGAGTTACATACACATGAGCTTGAGGTAGATTGTCTGGCAATGATTTGAAGTCTTCATCTAGGTACGTTACGTTACATTTTTCAATATCTTTATTCAGGTTATAGTTACTTATTAAAATTAGAGTGTCTTTATCAACATTTTTTAAACACTCTAAACTGACAATACTTTTAGACAATTTTCTGGTAATGTATGGCAAAGAAAGCTCCTCTGTATCTTGTTTTATTTTGTAAGGACCGTTCAACATCATTACTAGCTCATCTGTTGTAACAACATTCCAAAATTTTTCGTCGTGTTGTACCAAATTATATAAACTAACCTCTTCCTGTGGTAGCAAACATTTAAAATTACCATTAACTTCCTCCAGAAGATCAGAATGACATTTTAGATTTGACAATTTCCGAAAAATCGAACGTTTTTCTAAAAACTCTTCGTTAATATTTTCTCCAATCAAGATAAATTTTCTATCTTCGCATAACCTAACACCTTTATAAGTTAACTCACTAACAGTTACTATCAACGGACACTTATTTATCAACCATAACAGTTTACTGTAATCTTCATTACTAACACTGTTGAAGTCAAGCTTCTCCACTATTTGATAATTTCTGTTTGTAATTACCATTTCTTTCTCGTCCAAATCTTCCTTAACATCATCCCATAGTTGCGCCACGTTTTCAACTAAATCTTTACCAAACAAACAAATGTCAAACTTGTCGATTGCTTTTCGTAAAATTTTGGCGTTTTCGCTGACTTCGCAGAAGAAAATTGGTTGGATGTAAGGTTCCACTAAGTACAGTGCTACGACTTTTTGGACCATCTTCAAGTGTAGCTTTTCTTTCGTGCCATCGCGCAGACTCCACTCAGAAATAAAGTCCAGGATCTTCTCAGCTGTTGCATCTGTACACGAAAACGTTTTCTTCATTGTGCTAACGATTTCTGCTTTCAAGTCATCCGCGTTCATCTGATTGGTGTACAGAAGAAAAATTTCGAAGAAACTTTTGTAGTCAGCTTGATTGCTTAAAGACTCATCGTTGATTAACTCAAATTTATAGCAAGTTTCGACTTTTTGGTTTGTGTTGAGAGTGGATGTTATTGGAGACTTGATGATTTGAGCTCGGACTATTTCATCTTTCTGAGTTTTGAGTTGGATTTCTTGGTTTTCGTCAACATTGAAGTCAAGAGTCGTTAGAAGAATTAATTTATAATTAGACAATGTTTTTCTGGATTTGATGAAAGATTGGAAGTATTTCCGCATTCCAAAGTTTCCTTTTTCTTCTTGTAGACCTTTTATTGACAACTTCTTTGTTTCTTTGGATATGTGTTTTAGCTGGAGTGCGTATTTCTCTTTGTCGTTGTCTTTCGTCTCGATTTCGACAATAACGTCGTCGAATTGACCAAAGTCTTGATCATTTGACCACACATTAAAATCTTTTATATTGTTGTTGTTCATCAGACGTAGAATTAGGTTGGCGACCATTAGATTTTCATAGTCTTTTCCTTTATCTGTTGTACCGGCACGTTTCGTGAAAGTCTAAAATAGAAATTTTACTTGTTAAACTTAATTTAGAAAAAACATTAAGATTTCAAATAACACAAGCATACTTACTTTATTGCTAGAAAAATCAGATTCAACACTTTCATTTTCTTTACCTTCAAGAATTTTTTGTTCAGGAATATCCATTAATGTTTTGTTGTTTGGTTTGTTTCTCTGTCGGAAGCGAAGCTTAGATGTAGCAAAACCAGTGACTAATGGTTAAACAATTATTTAAAAATGTGAAATATTTATCTTTAAATACAGATATGTTATCAGTTACTGATTGCCTAATTCCTACATTTGTGGAGCAAACAGTTATAAAGTAGCCGGTGGTTTTTTTATGACTAACGCCTAATATTTGTAGAAGAAATACATTACAACAACAAACACATATTAAATATGGTGAAAATCACTGTAATGAAGTTCCCGTACACACTTCGCTGTGAGAGGAGCGTCCGAGATTAAATCTTCAAAGTTCAAGTCGTAACACGTACATGATAAATACAAAATCAACACGAAATCTTCCTCCTCGTGTCGAATGCACGTTAAATATTTAAGTGATAATAACTTTCAGAACAGATTAAGATTTAAAATTAGATCTTGTTCAGTTGTAAAATAAATGGAGAATCAAACTTATAAAAATCGAAATCTACATTATTATTGTGTCAAAAAAAAAACGTTGCTCAGCGGCAGCAAGGTTACCTGAGCTTCAAAAAAATATCGACAATAATAATTTGAAAGTTTACAAACAACCAAATCACAAGCTGGAACAACAACAAACAAAGGTTTTGTGGCCAAATTACCGGTGATTCTAAATGATGTATATTCAATGTAATTACTTAAACACACACGCTATTATTTCAATATTGACTCTAACATCTTTTCCACGTAGTGTCGCCCCTCTAAACACCGTAATAAAAAATCCAGATTCCAGTACACAGAAAAGAAAAATATTTATTCCATTTCAGACAATGTCTGTGAAACAACTACAAATTCTCTTCAACGTGGGCAAAATTTTAGCCATTACTCCAGCATCTTTCCGGGGTAAAAATACAACCCTCAGCGAAAAATTATATGGCTGTTTCATGATTATTTTTTACACGGTGGCGGTGATTGTTTCCTTCGTATACAGAGTGCCCCAATATAAATTTTACATCCACATCAAGTTGGCAATTCACGTCATTTTGGACATCCTCTTGTATTTATTTTGCATTCAGACAATAACTTCGGCTTTGCTGAAGCGAGAACTTTGGTGTGTTCTGATACAAAATCTAAAAATAACTGGAAACGGAAGTGTCAACAAATTCAACTACGGATTAAGATTTTTCATTGGAAACATAATTTTCTGGATTATGAATATTTATTTGTTGAGTTGTTTTACGTACTACTTTGGTTTGGAGTTCGTGAAGCAGTACAGTGTTGATACTTTACAAGTTTATGTTCAGTTTAACCGAAACTTTCTAATTTGGGTGTTTTTGAAATTTTTCAAGAGTCGGTACAGAGCAATAAATCGAGCGCTCCTCAATCTAAAAAAGTTAGTAAAGCGAAATCACGAAACGTCAATAAACGACACGTTACGACGACTACGGTATAACTTTGTTTTACTTGAGAACACCATTCATATATTTAATGCTATTTTCGGATGGACAATATTGATTAGCACTTTACACGGAAGCCTTCAAATGATTATATATTTCGACAATATGTTGATTCCAACTATAACTACAACTGTAACTTTGTTGGTGGCTAATTTTCTTATTCTCTTGTTGTATTGGGTAATAATTACAATACAAATGACATTTGCATTATTTAAATGTTTTTTTTTAGACTGGCACTGCTACTATTATTATTATATGCGACGACGTGTTAGATGAAGCTGAACAAACTGTTGTTATGGCATACAAACTACAAAAGAAAATGAAATTCAGATATAATTTGGAGTTAACGAAGCTTATCACGGTTGTTACAAATAATTTTCCAAGATTTTCAGCGGCTGGGTTTTTTGTGATTAATAAATCCACGATTTTAAAAATCTTTGATGCCATTGTTACGTTGCTGGTTGTTGTGATTCAGTTTGACATTTCCGAAAGCTATAACTTTGCACCAAATTATTTCGTTAACAAAACTGTAGATTGAATTTAATTATTGGTTTTACATTGTTTTATTAACATCTATTGTTTATTTATTAAGTGGGAAGATTTTATAGCACAACTTCACAACAATGAAATACACATACATACGTTATTTTCAACAAGACGGGGCTACAGCGCATTTATGCTTACACAATTAGCAACAGTTTCAACATTTACTCTAATTTAATTTATTTAATTATTAATCTTTTACCAATTTTCCCTGTAATTTGACACTTATTTTATTAAACAACTTATTAAAACGTGTGTCATTCTTGCTTTTATACTTGTCATTTTTTGACAAGTCAAGTGGACTATGACGTCATGTGTATGTGACATTTTTAATAGAAAGTTAAGTACATAATATGATTTTTACGTATCCTTAATTTTTTACCTATTATTTAAATGTTCACATTTTTATCTTCAACTATTGTCATATATTAATAAACAGACGATTACGGTTTAGTATTAAATAAAAAACAACCAATTTATTTATATGTTTATATAACGGGTGTCCAATCAAAAAATCACTTAGAATAGGCGTTGGAAATTCATTTGAGCCAAACGTCACGTGTCTTCTTATGACATATGCATATAAGAGGTTATGTTTTTACCAAATGGATGTTATAAGACTATATATACCGTTTACGTCAAATGAAATTCCAACGCCTAATCTCAGTGACTTTTTAAGGTATAGGATATGATGTATGGGGATAATTAATCTGGATATTTGATTACTTCATAAGCAAATATCAAATTCCGAATGATTGAATACAAGATTATTTTAACCTTGTCAAGATACCTATTCAAAGAAAAATAACAACTATTGTTTTAATGATATAATTCTAGCTTTAGTGTGAAACAAGAGAACTTTTTTACGGCAATTAATTATCATGAGTAATAGAATAAAATAAAAAAATAAATAAAAAAATCATAAGACAACTGTGTTTATAAAATTCTGCTTTTGATCTTCACTTTCCGAGGGATATTGTCAAAAATGATGTACACAATAGGTCAAACTCTTTCTAATACGTAATGTGACAGATTCTGGATAAAAATAAAGAACATTTTGCATAGGGTACAATATTTTCATGCATTTATCGATAACCTGGTTGATGTTATCACATTTTTTGCATGATTTAGATTAACGAATTGAGGTAATGATAGTTTTGTTGTCGAAATTATAAGATTAATATTTTGTTTTGAGTTTCTCAATAAAGTGAAAATAAATTTATGACACACTCGGAACCTTCATTTGGAATTTGTTGTTCCTTTAATCGTATAAACTAATCTAGGATCTACTTCAACCACAGTATGTCTTCAACGTTTCCCGTGCTTGCGGGATTACATATTTTACTGATTATTATTATTAGCTCTCTAAACTAGAATTTTACGCCTTGAAACTTTTAACGTTAATAGATTTTATAAGACAAAAGGATGAGTATTTTAGATATTGTTTATATTTACAAGTAAATAAATGGAAAGCGTGTAAGAAAAACCCTTGTAGAACTTTTTTTTTTAATTCACTAATATATCATATTTTATTCATCCTTACTCTGCCAAGGTCTTATTTTATAAAAGCACACTACGTTGACTTGACAGAGTGTCAAAAAATTGTTCGAAGTTTATTTCGACAGAACTTCCCTCTCGTCTGAAGTACAGTCCAACAATCCTGCTTCTTCAATCAACGGAAAAAATTGCCTCTCAGTGGTAATCTCACTCGCCTTTGGCTCGTTCCGGAAACTCTCATCCTCGTGTAATCACCAATTTTCTCACTCGATGAACAATATATTATTTTTCTATTTTAATTTTGCCATACACTAGTGCTGTCCTAGAACGTTTGTTTTCTCAAATTAACTTGAACAAGAGGAAAATTCGATTTTCAACAAACGTACTGTGTGGAATTGCACATACAAAGAAGACACTCACAGTTATCTAACTACATAGTTTTGGTACATACCTAACCTCAAAATGTTATTATTGTCAATAATTCAATTTACTTTGTTTACGTTTTCTATGTTGTTTACATGTCAACATAAAAAAGGTTGTTTACTGTGTCACACTTAACCCTGTTTTTGCGTCATTATCGGGACTGATTCGTTTTATACACTCGATAACAATTAAAATTTCATAAACAAATGTCCATATTGTTAGTATTGGAGAAGATTTATATTTCTTCTTTCTGCTAGTAGACACCACTGGGGTTCTATGTCGCAACTGTAAGATACCCTTTGTTCAATATATAATTCTTAGACTTTAGGGTTTTCTCATCTTATCACCAACAATGTGGTTACGTCATCTCAAAATTAGGTATGCATAGTAAATGTTATTTAAATTTTATAAACTAACGTACTCCTACAGGTATGGATTCATCCTGATTTTTACTTCCCGAGCGTAACCTAAGGTAGTAGAGTAATCGAGTCAATCGGTTGAATGATCACTTTTATATTTTCTCGAGGTTTCATGACCTATGGAGTACGAAAAAAGTAGTCTCTCGTTTCCATCTGTTTGTCTGTCTGGTGGCTGTATCCATTTTTATTAGAAACGTAATTTCCGAAATTGCTGGACCGATTGTTGTCAAATTTTGTATGTATAATCATCCTCACCAACAATTTGATGTCCTGTAAGTGTGGTGTCCGAATCCGGTTTGAGTTTTTCCCTAACCGTCCAAATTTTTCCTTTTTTTTAATTTTCTCTCGCATTGTGTATTATTGTTATTAAAGATAATTTTCCAACAGAGCAATCCATTAACAGGGAAAGTATAAGAAGTAAATACGCATACTTTGAAGTACTCAGATTAGACGATATCGATTAGATATTTTGTTTAACTTTAACACCGGAATCAAATAAAAAGAAACGAAAGAAATTACAGACCTAAATAATATAAAAATAAAATGAGAAAAAATAAAGAAAAAATATCTTAGCAGAAACAACTAAGTTAATTAAATTAATTATTAAATTATGTTCCATATTCATTTAGAATATTGTTGATAATATTTTAAATTTAACAATAAAGTCACACTCTTTTGCTACTGTTACGTTGCGCGGGCGAATAAAAT